AGAAAGTAGAAGGAAAGAAATAATCAAGATTAGAGCAGAATTAAGTGACATAGACATCCACAGAAGTAGCAGGTGAGACAAAGTGGGCAAAAGGGAGAGCCCCAGAAAGGCCTTCTGAAGCAGGGGATGAAAATCACTCTCCCTTATCTTCCTACCAAAGCCAGGTTCCTGTGGGAATTCCGTGGTGTGTGTGTGTGTGTGTGTGTGTGTGTGTGTGTGTGTCCCCTGAAGACCAGGACGAGACCTGAAGTCAATGTGAGGAGCTGCACAGGGATGGGGACCTGTGCAAGGTGAGCTCTTGAAAAGGTGGCAGTGTCCAGAGTACTGTGAGTCTAGTGTCAGGACCACTGTCCCACCAGGGCAATGTGCTGTTTCAGAGAGACCTCTCTGCTTTCAAGGGGTCAGAGGAAGGGCCTGGTAAAAGTTCTCCTGAGGCTCTTTGGGGAGATTGCTTGCTTTGAGACTTGATCACCAAAACATGCTACATGTCCTCCAGCCCTGCATTGGGGCTTTGAACAGAAGTCATCTGTGTCCCTGTCTGTCATCTACTCTGGGCCTCCTCCCAGGGCCCAGGATTTGGAACAGCTCCGTGTGACAACTAAACCAGGAGACCCTGTGTGCTCTTCTGTTAGGGAAAGGGAGGTTCTCCTGAAACCCTCAGCCCCTCTGAGATAGAAGTGACCATAGATTCTGGGTTCTCCTGTCCCATCCTGTACAAGAAATTTTCTTCTTCCCAGGACACCATGAACTAGTAACATGTCTTCAGAAACAATAGGCAAATGCCACACATACCAGGGACTCTGGGCAAAAAGAGTCATCCTTTGGTGTTTTTTTTTTTTTTTTTTTTTTGAGGTTGGTGCATGTTCCTTACTCCCCTGGCAGTAACTCTACCAGGAATTGGCGATCCAGAGTTTCTGTCAGGTCAGGAATTTGTACGATCAGGAAGAACACAGGCCTGAGGTGGTGAGATGTAACTCAACTCACAAGGTGGGCCTGTGGAGGGCTGAGGTTTTTCTGCGAATAAAAGGTGATCCAACCTTTCAATGTTAGAAGGTTCCTTTCCCATCTCCCGAATGTACAAGAATGTACAAGACCTGACTCTGGGTTGTCCCCAACCACTTGATGGCAACCTCTCAGGTGGATACCAGTGCCTTTATTTTTATAAGAAACCTACTTATACAGTATTAGGCTACTTGACTCAACAAGATTATTTTGACATGGTTTTTTTCTTTATAGCCTTTAGTCCTATCCTATCACAGGGATACATTGAATGTGTGTATCCATTCACCTTTTGTAAACACCTGTGTTGTTTCCAATTTGGGGCCATTACATGTAATCCTGCTAGGAACATTTATGCATAAAAAGTCTTTAACCCAGTGAATTAGGGGCTTGGACACACCTGAGTAGCAAGAGGACCCTGAAGCCTGTTCTCAAGGTCGCACTGCCACAGCCCCATCCAGAGGCACAAAAGCACCTGCTTCCCTCACATGAACCTGTGTCTGCCACAGACCACCCATCAGTCAACGCAGCAACTGACATAATGACCCCATCTCTCTTCCAGATTCTGAATTAAACACAAGTGCACCTCAGATGCTGAATTTGATTCACACCTGGATTTGCCAGCACTAGGAGTTGGGGATAGGTAGTTTCTCATCTTTCAGTCACTTTGATATGGGAAAACATGGAAGGAAATGGAGCACAGATGCCAAGTGCCCACAGATAGCAGATGGCATTTCTGAGTTTGCTCAAAGGCAGTGTGACTCTGGGTGAGTGGTCCCACGTCAAGAAGCATCAGTTCCCTCATGTGATGTCATTAAATGATGTTTGATCTTCTCTCCTGGATCTTAGAAAAAAGAAGCTAAAACTTCTGGAATTTTCCAAGTGATGAGGGTGATGAGTGTCTTTTGTGGTGACGCAACTCTTGGCAGGCCTCTGGGTGGTTGCAGAGTGAGGGCAGTTCACCAGAAAGACAAAGTTTTGATCGGAAGCTTGGAATTTTCAGCTGTCAACGTCAGAAATGTCTAAGCCTACAGAGAATTTTTATGGGTCTATTGGAGCTAACTGGACAACAATTATTAAGGAACACAATCTCAGTGGATTGAGAATATATTCCACAGGACAGCAGTTTTGTGGCTTCTTTTATAGAGTACATTGAAAGCCCAAGGCCAGAGGGGTTTCATGAAATCTTCTGGCAATAGATTATGGAGGTGGAAGAAAGTGAAGAGATCTCTGAGCCCGGGAAAATGTGAAACAGACACATACTTTGATTATGTTAGTGGCTACAGATTAGGTAGCAGTTCACAATGAACAAAATCACAGTTACAAAGAACAAATGTTTTGTTCCTTCTCTGGTGCGGTGAAGGGTCTGTAAAAAGAAGCAGTTATTCAGACATTGGAAAGGTGTCTTATGGGAGGTGCAAAAAGACACTGAACAGACTCAGTTAAGGCAAACACAGAAAATTATCAAAGAAGATGCTGGCCTGGGACTCATTTACACACCATGACTTGCATTTCAGACGATTCTATGTGGTTACTACAGGTCTCTGAGTTTGTAAGTCCCACCATGCAGGCCTCCCCTGAGCTTGACAAGTTATCATGGGGCCATTTGTTTTCCACACTGCTCCTTCTTAGTCATAAATCCACCTAAAGAATAAATAAATGACCAATCTTTTGGTCAGATAACATTGTCTCCAGTGTTAGGTGGGATTCTTAGGAAGACTTAGTGGCAAGGTTTGACTTGCTGGCACATAAACCATTGGTGATGCCGCCAGAACTTCACCTTGGATGGACATCAAAGCTGAATATTCTCAAAAGAGAAAAGCAGGTAAATGAAAAGCAGTCAGTCCCACACCTTGATTAAGAAAAGAAGCTCTGCATTATTTTTAATCAATAAGGTTTCATGATCTAAGTTTTTTCTCGTTTCTCTGTGTGTTGCATCTTGTATAACATTTATGCATAATTTGAGAGCAGACTATGCACCAATCCAGTTTTAACAATCTGACCATGAGATGGGTTCTTATTCACAATGCCCCACCTTTTTATTAGCTATGAATCATTCATTATTAATTTGATTTTTGCTAGATGTGCATTTGGAAGGTGTAAGTTTAAGGTTTACTAGGGGAACAGAACACAGTGCTGTAAAGTACCATTACCATCTAAAAGTTGCACAGGTGAGGAGGACAGTAAGAGTTTCATGAGTACATTTTCTCTGCTTCAGCAGTAGGTATGGAGGGCTGTGTTTTTACAGCCAGTTCAGCTTCCATTTGAATAATATAGGTACTAGGACTTATTGAGTTTGGGTATAAAAATTTTCATGTAATTAAGTTCTAGTATTTATGGTAGTCATTAAATTTTACTAACTATTTTAATAGGAATTACATTGAATCTACAAATTGCCTTGGGTCGTATGCACATATTAATGATGTTAATTCCTTCAATCCATGAACATGGTATATGTCTCCATTTATTTGTATTTTCCTCCCTTTGTTTCTTCAATGTTCTGTAGTTTTCCAGGTGCAGGTCTTTTACATCCTTAGTTAAATTTATCCCTAGGCACTTTATTTTGATGTTGTTATAGTAAAGGGGATTCTTGTCTTAGTTTCTTTTTCTGGTAACTTATTGTTGGTATACAAGAATGCCTCTGATTTCTGAATATTGGCTTTTTATCCCACTACTTTGCTGAATTCACTTATTAGGTGGAGTAGTTCTTGATGAAGACTATAGAGTTTTCTATATACACTATCATGTGATCTGCAAATAATGACAATTGTACTTTCTCCTCTAGAATTTGGATGCCTTTTATTTCTATGTCTTGTCTCACTTCTGTAGTTAGAACATCCAGTACTATGTTGAATAAGAGTACTGAAAGCAGGCACCTCAAGGGAAATGCTTTTAGTTATTTCCCATTGAGTATGATGTTGGCAGTAGGTTTCTCATATATCACCTTTATTATATTTAGGTATGTTCCTTCTATCCCTACTTTGCTGAGTGTTTTTATCATAAATGGGTGCTGGATTTGGTCAAAGGTTTTTTCAGCATCTATTGATATACTCCTGTGATTTTTGTCCATCATTTTGTTTATGCGATGTATTACATTTATTGATTTGTGAATGTTCTACCAACCTTGCATCCTTGAGATAAATCCCAGGTGATCATGGGGTATTATCTGTTTCATGTATTGCTTGATCCAAATGGCAGTACTTTGTTGAAGACTTGAGCTTCTATGTTCATCAAAGATATAGAGCTGTAATTTTCTTTTTGTGTGTCTTCACCTGGTCCTGCAATTAAGATAATACTGGTCTAATAAGAAGTATTTAGGATTCTTCCCTCACCTTGAATTTTTTTGAAATAGTTTGGAAAGAACTGGTATTAGTTCTCCTTTGAATTTTGATGAAATTTGCCTGTGAAGCCAACTAGTCCAGGGCTTTTGTGTGCTGGGAGTTTTCTTTATTAGTGCCTCAATTTTTTGTTAAGGTTTGTTTTGTGTACCACCACGTGATCTATCTTTGAAAATCATCCATGTGCATCTGTAAAGAATGTATACTTTGTTACTTTGTGGAATTATCTGTAAATATCAATCAAGTCCATTTGATATAGAGTGGGTTTCTTACTATGGGTTTCAGGGAAACCCCAGAACCCAGACACCTCAGGCTTGTTCTTCTTCAACTCATCATGTGAGTGTGGGCTAGTGTATATAGGTGTGTGTGTGTGTTGCGCGGGTGTAGCGTTCAGAGGCTTCAGCAGTTCCCAGAATCCAAAATATCAAAGAACAGTAAACTGGTAAGACGAGACAGGGTGGGATAAATGAGGTCAAGGAGTGGGTGCGTCCTCAACACAGACCCTGCCCCCAGCACATGAATAATAATCTTGGCCCAGAATAAAGCTCAGCACACAGGTAGGAAACAGAACACATTGTGCCATTCTGGACAGAGGTGCCTACGAGCCTCACTGAACATCAAGCTTCTCTCAAAGAGGCAGCCACAGAGCAGACCACATACACCATGGGATCCCTGTCAGTCTCTAGCCACAGAGGACTTGCCCACTGTAAAGAGCTCCTGCTGGTTGGTGAGTAGGAGACAATTCTTGGGGTAGTAACCTAAGGATCTGACCCACAGACTTGGCTGAGATCTGCTGAAGAGACCAGTGCTCTGAGAAAAGAGGGGAGGCTTCTATTTGGACCTGAGGGTAAAGGAAAGAGGAGCAGAGTAGGATGAGGAAGGGGGCTCAGCAAGAGGAAAATCTCGTAATCTGAAAGTAATGGGAGGCATGAAAATCCCAATTGCTGTGCATTTCCAAACTTACTCATCATTGAGTATTGAATTATGGAAACATTATAATGACAGTTCCTGACAGGTAACACCAGGAAAAAAACTGAACCAGGGGTCTAGCCATTTTCTTTACTGTTACCCTTGACCATGGGAGACACACTCAAACTCAGAGGATGGCTGAGAGTTGAAGAGACCAGCTCAGGCTCCAGGGCCTTTTCTTTTGCTCCCAAAACATAGATCTGAATATTACTCAATTTCTCTCTTCTTTCCTAGTGTCGCTGTTAACTTTCTGCTGCCTGCCCACGAATGCCCAATTCTCTATTGTGTCAACCACAGTTGCTGAAGGGGAGGAAGTGCGTCTGAATCTTCACGAGAATCCTTATGGTGCTGTAGGCTACAGATGGTTCAGAGGAGAAGGGGAAAGATTTTCCAATCTAATAGCAGGTTCTTTCTCAATGATCAGAAATATTGAAAAAAGGGCGGTTTTATGATAATCAAAAAATAGCAGACGTGGATGGAACCTTGCTGATAAAAAAGGCTTCCTTGAGAGACACAGGAACATACACCGTAGTGGCCTACCTTCCAGATGAAGTAAAAGAAATAGGATTCGGACGGCTCGATGTGTACCGTAAGTGATTGTTCTCTGACATCTGGGTGTTGGCTGGGGAGAATTCTACTTCACACACAGGACTGACAGCCATGAATTTCACCTTCATTCGCCTCTACATTCTGTTCCAGGGTGGGTTTTGCAATTAGTGAAGGATACAGAGAGTGGGGGCACACTTCCTAAGATCTCAGTTCCCTTCCCAGATTCCAGCCTGGCAGACAGTCACTGCAGTCAGAAGGACCATTCTGATGAGAGTAACTCAGCAGAAAGAGACCAGTCTATGCTCAGGCCCCTGAGCACCTTTCCATGACCCTGACCATGAGAATTACCCCGCCACAGGGCCTCTGTCAAACCCTGGTGTTAGGAGCCTCCTGAAATTCTTAGAAGAGCTCCCCTTAGGAGCTCCTCCCCAGAACCCTGTCCTAGGGATCTTTGACCACAAGGATCTTGGGGAGCCTGTTTCAGGTTGGGTTTGGTATCCTTGGAAAGCCCGGTTTGGTAAGGGTTTAACAAGTGCCTAAGAAACAAGGCTCCTGAGCAGGTTACCAGGCCAGGCTCGGGCCCGAGATCCACATCTTGGCAAAAAATGGACTTCAGTTTATCACCTGAGGTAGTCGATGTGTGAGAGCACAGTTAGACAATGTTTTTGGATCTTAGCTGACTGTGCTGGGGGATTTAGCAAATTTCTAGTTGAGGAAAAGGTCAGCATCCCCAGAAAGAAACTGAGAATAGAAGATGCTCCTGGCTAGTCTGTGTTCACCAGGAATCAGCTGAGGGGGATTCTCTCTTGCAGTCAATCAATAACAGATGCCTCTTATTTCAGTTGCTCTTCTGTCCTAAGAATTAGGTCATATACTGTAAACACCTTATGATTACTAGGCTGAAAACTGACAGCCAATTGCTCATCCTTCCTTCATTAAAAAGAAAAAAAAAAAAAAAAAAAAAAAAAAAAGAAGCAACTGAGAAACAGAGAGACACAGTCACTACAGCAGAGTCAGACAGGTGGTGAGCAGCTCGTCTGTCACTGGAGATCTGTCTGTAGCCACAAGCCTGACTTCTTTCCTCCATTTTGGTAGCCTTGTGAGGTGTCTGTGGGTCTTTGAACCACCCATTGGCTCAGGTCACTTTTTCTCATTAGGCATCCTAACCTCTGTGGAACACACTCTGTTTGGAAGATGACAGGAAATGGAGAATTAAGTGTTTTTACTCCAGAAACAAATTGCCTACAGTAACAATTTGGGTCAGTGAGGGGAACCCCCCAGACCTCCCTCTCAGTGAGGTGTGGCTGATGCACTCCTCCCTTCGCTGGCCTTGAAATCACTTGTTTCTTTTCTGATGTGTTGGTGTCACTACTACTGGATATGAAGGGAACACAACCTTGCCCTCTCAATGCCACTGCACCACTGAAACCAGCTCAGGGTCCAATAAAACAAACGCTCATTGCTTTTCATAAATTAGGAAGAAATAAAGGGCAATTGAATGCACGAATGAATGAATGGTCCAAAATCTTTTCAGATCCTGGAAACTGGATGCAGACTACTCAGATTTCTGGCCTTACAGGGACTAAGACCCTTGTCTCAGACCCTTTTCTGCTCTCCAATGAAATAGTCTTCCTCGTAATTGGTCTTAGACCTTCAGGATTGATAATAATAATTTTCACATGAGGAAGAATCAAGGTTTTTTCCAAATTTCTATCTCGTAGCTACCTAACACACATGGCCCACAGGGGTGAACTTTGCATAGCTCTTTGCGGACAATGAGTGGCTGGGATCTTTGAGAAAGTCGCGTGGCTCCATGTGTCAGCCCACTCTCAGTTGCATTCTCTGTTTCTCCACAGGGCCTGTGGTACGGCGGCCCTTCCTCCAAGCCAGCAACATCACAGTTTCAGTAAATAGTAACGTGGTCATGAGCTGCTTATCACATGCGCTCTCCACTGAGTGGTTGTTTAATGGCATGGCTCTGCAGCTCTCCAAGAGAAAAAGGCTGTCCAAGGACCGCAGTATTCTCACGATAGACCCTGTCCACATGGAGGATGCTGGCTATTACCAGTGTAAAGTCTACGACCCTGTTAATTCTGCTGAAAGTTGGCCCCTTGTGTTGTATGTACATCATGAGTGACCCTCCTGCCCTCTCCTTTCTTATTAAATTCTAAATAAAGGTTTTTGCATCATTGAAATTGTTCTGTTCTGAAGAAGAATTTTTCTTAAAAGTTTTGCCCCTGAGTCAATAAATACGTAACAGTGTGAGTAGACATTGTCATTATTGTTCACTGAAGCTCACATTTTAGAACAAACCCTACCTCAGTTTGGTCTCATGTATACCGTGTCCACACTGGAGGTGACATTGTGTCCCTCAGAGGATGAGCAGTGGTCGTGCGATAACCAGTTTGAACAACTAACTGGCTCTCAGGATCTGAGCTCTGTCCCTTCTGCAGGCAAAAGTGTGGAGGCCCCTGGACACTGTTGTAGACAATGGGGATGGACAAGAGGACACCCATGTGGGGAGCCACACTCCTTGTTGTCTTTCACTTTCTGTCTTTCAAAAGATTTCTAAACTCTTTGGGGTATTCTAATTTATATGGCAATAATATTATTTGCATAATTCAGGACATCTCTGTTCTTTGGGTTAATAAGATGCCATTGGCAAGTGAAAGGGTCAGGCCAGTTTTCCAACCAACTAGACTGCTCAGGACTCAGTCATCCAGACTCAATTGATAGCCTGAGGCTTAATCCAAACTCTCTGGCACCTCCCACAATAGACATCTAGCACCAGCCATAATGGCCAGTAGTCAGACTGACCCTCCTCTACCTGGGCACAGCCTGGCCCTTTACCTAACCCGTTGTCCCAGCTCACATCCTGAATCCCTGAGGTAACTGCCCAGAAGAACAAGAGACTAACTCAGTCCACCCTCCTCTATGCCCCCACAAACCCTGCACCCTTTCCTTTTCAAACCCCATTCTTGCCTCCCCCAGAGGGCTGCAGTTGCTCCAGACTCGTCGCCTCCTATAAACAGAGCCTCAAATAAAGGCACTTGGATCAGATCATCCAGTTTCTCCTGTCTCTATCTCCCTCCCACTTCTAATAGAAACTTGGGTATGAAAACTAAGGCTTCAGCCCAAATATCCTAGTTCAGACTCATGCCTGTGGAATTATAAACTATCTTACTTTTTATGGAGCTAATTTGACCTACAGGTATTTTGGTATTTCTTGCAAGAGAGTACATCACCAAAATTAGGGTGACTGCCGGTGAAGTCTTAGGGTGAGGCTTCCTAACTTCAAGAACCTGCTAAATCCCTCCTCTTATGTTTTATTTTTTAAAAACCTGCATCAGAGCATACTGTGTGGTTAAATATCAGTTCCTCTGTAAGTATGTATCTAATTAGGACAAATCAGGTGACTCCTGTCATGTGATAGAGTCAACTATGCACTTTTTTCTTAGGGATGATGTTTAATCAAAGGAAAGATGACTGTGGAAAAAAGCATAATGCCTGAATGGAAAACTGGGAGATCAGATTCTGGCTCCACTCAGGGACTCTGAGCTACTTTGCACCTGATTATAATTTGCTGGGAACTTGCACCTTGTTGTAAATTGCAGGAACTGATGAAGATGAAAACTGGGTTTTGGCTGAAAGATTGGGCTGTGTTTCTTTCCACTGTGTAGGAAGCAGTTTGGTTGTGACCTAGAGGCCTTAATGCTCCCTCAGAGTCAGCAAACTTTAGACAAGTTCGTCCTGATTGCAGGCCTTTCTCCTCCATCTTATCAGAGCATTTTCCTCAGAAATTTAATTGCAATTTGTAATTACAGTTCCATTTTTGCCCTTTTGAATTACACATAAGTCTCCTGAAAGTCTTCTTGCCGGTGATTCAGAGAATATACATTGCAAGGGGCTGGACCCATCTCTAAAAATGTGATCCTTCTGGTGTTTATGTGTCTCAGTCCTCGTGGCAGGTAGAAACCTAACTTGGGTAAGAACATTTACAACCATGATGTACAGAGGCAACTTGTGAAGAATGTATGAAATGTTTTACTTTTTTTTTCCTGTACTGCCACTTAGCAAACAGAGTTTCTAATGATTCTTTCCCCTGTTCTTAAAATCTCCACAGCTGTTTCTTTCAGGAGTGTTGAGTTCTGGCTCAGTACACTGTGGCATGGTCTTTAATAAAGAGGCGAGTCTTTCTTGCCTCTTTAAATTTGTTCCATGCATCTTTCACTCTAACATCACATACTTATAATTATCTAATCCTGTCATGTTTCTTACAGTGTCCATCCTTATTATATTTTTAAATCTTCCCAAATATTTAATCTGGCTGAAATTTTCCAAGCAAATACTTCCAGTTGTCCTGCCTCTGTTATGGATTGGCATCTACAGTAAAAGATGACCTGACTGCCCAGATTTTTCTGGGCACAGGTTGCCTTGAAGTGCCTTTTGTCTTAGACTCTGAGGAAAAGTGCAGGTGTGAAACTCGGCACCTCTGCAGGGGCATAACCATCAGTAGTGTTCTCATAGTATGTACATTTTTAAAACTGTTTAATAAATTGTTCTGCAGTGTCAGTTGTCCTCATTTGCCCCCATTAATCTCCCCTTCCCTACCCACCCCACCTTCCACATTCAATCCTCCACCCCATGTCTTGCTTGTCCATGTGTCCTCTATACATGTTCCTTGACTCTTCCCCTTCTTTGTCCCATTGTCCTCCTCCCTCCTCCTTGTAAACTTTGCTCACTTGTGGCTTTAATTTGCATCTCTCATACCTAGTGATGCCGAGCATCCTTCTGGGCCCTCTGTATGTCCTTTTGGGAGAAGTGTCTGTCCAGGTCCTTTGCCTGTTTTTAATTGGGTTATCTGTCTTCCTGTCTTCCTGGTGTGGAGTAGCATGAGTTCTTTATAAACTAAACCCTACTCTGAGGTGTCATTTGGCAATATATTTTCCCATACAGATGTTTCCCTTTTGATGTTGCTGATGTTTTCTTTAACCTTGCAGAAGCTTTTGCATTTGATGAAGTCCCATTTGTTTATTCTTTCCTTTATGTCCCCTGCTCTAGGGGACATGTCAGTGAAACTATTGCTGCATAGAATAGCTGTCATTTTCCTACCTATATTCATCTCTAGAACTCTTGTGGCACTTGCAACTTATATTTGAGTCTTTTATCCATCTTGAGTTTATTTTTGTGTAGGGTGTAAGTTGTTGGTGAGTTTCTTTGTTTTGCATGTAGCTGTCCAGATTTACCAACACCATGGACACTATTTTTGTTTAATAAAGACACTATTTCTGTTTAATTATACATTAAACAGAATATATAACCCTAACCCTTTGTCTAATATCAATTGACTACACAGGAAAGGCCTTATTTCTGGGCTCTCTATCCTGTTCCATTGATCTATGTGTCTGTACTTATGCCAGTACCAGTCTGCTTTGACTAGAGTGGCCTTTTAAGACAGTTTGATATCAGGTATTGTGATCCCTCCTATTTTGTTCTTCTTTCTCAACATTGCTGTGGCTATTTGGGGTCATTTATGGTTCCATAGAAATTTTTGAAATGTTTACTTGTATCTGTGATATATGTCAATGGTATTTGAAAACAGGTTGTGTTGAATCTATATCTTGTTTGGGGTAATATGGACATTTTGATGATGTTAACCCTTCCAATCCATGAAAAGTTATATGCTTCCATATGCTTATTTATGTCTTCCTTTATTTCTTCCTACAGTGTTCTGTAGTTTTCTTAGTACAGGTCTTTTACCTTTTTGATTACGTTTATTCCTAGGCACTTTATTCTTCTAGTGGCTGTAACAAATGGGATATTTCCTGATTTTTGTTTCTGGCATTCATTGGTGGTGTCGAAAAATGCCTTCGATTTCTGGATATTAACTTTGGATCCTGCTATTTTGCCAAATTTACTTAATAGGTCAAGCAGTTTTTTGGTGGAGTCTATAGAATTTTCTGTGCACACCACACTATCATGTCATCTGCAAACAATGAGACTTTTGCTTCCTCCTTTCCAATTTGGATGCCTTTAATTTCTTTTATTTTTCTTGTCTGATTGCTTTGGCTAGAACTTCCAATACTATTTTGAATAGAAGTGGTGAAAGTAGACATCCTTGTCTTCTTCCTGACCTTAGTGGGAAAGCTTTTGTTTTTGCCCCTTGAGTAGGATGTTAGCTGTAGGTATCTTGTATATGGCCATTATTATGTTGAGGAATGTTCCCTCTACTCCTGCTTTATTGAGTGTTTTTATCATAAATGGGTGCTGTACCTTATCAAATGCTTTGTCTGCATCTATTGATATGATCATGTGATTTTTGTCTTACCTTTTGTCTATGTGATGTATTAGGTTTATTAATTCGTGAATGTTGTACCAACCCTGCATCCCTGTGATGGATCCCACTTGATCTTGATGCATGATCATTTTAATGTAAATTTGGATGCAGGTTGCTCAGATTTTTTGAGGATTTTAGCGTCTATGTTCATCAGTGATATTGGCCTACAATTTTCTTTCTTTGTCGTACCTTTATCTGGTTTTGGGAGTAGGAGAATGCTAGCTTCATAAATAAAAAGAGTTTGTGAGTCTTCCATCTTCATGGATTTGTTGAAATCATCTGTGAAGGATTGTGGTTAGCTCTTCCTTAAATGTTTTGTAGATTCTCCTGTGAAACTGTCTGTTCCAGGGCTTTCGTGTGACAGGAGTTCCTTGATTACTGCTTTGATTTTCTAAGCTGTTATTGATCTCTTCAGGCTTTAGCTTCCTCTTCATTCAGTTTTGGAAGATGTGGTCCCAGAAATTTGTCCATTTCCCCTAGGTTTTCATATTTCTTGGCATATGCTTCTTCGTAGTAATGTCTTCCAATTATTTGTATTTCTGTGGTATCAATTGTAATCTCTCCTCTTTGATTTCTGATTTCATTTATTTGGGTACTCTTTCTTTTTTTCTCAGTGAGTCTGCTTAAACGCTTGTCAACTTTTTGATCTTTTCAAAGAACCAGATCTTGAATTAATTGATCCTTTGAACTGTTCTTGTAGTGTCTATGTCATTTAACTCTGCTGTGATCTTGGTTATTTCCTTCCTTCTACTTTCTCTGGGCTGTCCTTGTAATTGTTCCTCTCTTTTTTTTGTAGATGT